TCTCTCTCAAACAAAACAAAACCATTTCTTAATTCTGATTAAGGTACTATGGTTAAATGAGAGATTGCCCTTGTTCTTGCCTAATATAGATGTAAACGTTTTGTGGTAAGGGAGCACAATGCTTCCAATTTATTCTTAAATGATTCAGAAAAAGAAAAAAATCCATTTATATATACATATATAGAGGGAGACAGAATAATAAAGCAAAGGGGGTAAAATGTTAAAAATTGCTGAAACTGCATAGAAGGTATAAAGGAATTCCTTTGTTATTCTTATTTGAAATTATATAAGAATAAATGTCACCCAAAAAAGGCTAACACCAGACTGATTTTATCTATTTAAATATTCCAATATGGAAAAAACATTTTTCTTTTTCTAGCCTTAAAAGACTATTAGAGTAGGTCACCTTAATCCAACTTCTTGGTTTTACAAATGAAAAATGAAATCCAGAAAAGCTAGGGCCATGGTCAGATAATTAGGTAGTAGTGGAGCTGGACAGAACCCTGCACTCAATACTTCAATACTCTGTAATAGATTTTGAAATATTTTAGCTTCTCTCTTTCTCTCTGTTTCTCTGTCTCTCTCTCTCTCTCTCTCTCTGTCTTTCTTTTTGGGGATGGAGTCTCACTCTGTCACCCAGGCTGGAGTGCAGTGCCATGATCTCGGCTCACTGCAACCTCTGTCTCCTGGATTCAAGCAATTCTCCTGCCTCAGCCTCCCCAGTAGCTGGGAACACAGGTGCACGCCACGCCTGGCTAATTTTTGTATTTTTAGTAGAGACAGGGTTTCACCATGTCAGCGAGGCTGGTCTCAAACTCCTGACCTCAGGTGATCCACTTGCCTCAGCCTCCCAAAGCGCTGGGATTACAAGTGTGAGCCAGCACACCTGGCCTATTTTATGATTTCTTATTAGAGATGGGGTTGCCCAGGCTGGCCCTGATTTTGTGGGCTCAAGCAATCATCCCACCTCAGTCTCCCAAGGAGCTGGGATACCACTGTGCCCACCGGTATTTTTAGCTCTGATACTACCTCATGAAAACCAGTTAATATTACTTATTTTTACACAGCATTTTGTTAGAACAAAAAATTGCAATTAGGAGTATTACTAGAATTAAAATTCTGACACTTCAGACTGCAACTGCTGGGTGCAATGGCTCACGCCTGTAATCCCAGCACTTTACAAGGCCAAGGCTGGTGGGTCACTTGAGCTTAGGAGTTCGAGACCAGCCTGGGCAACAGAGTGAAACCCCATCTCTACAAAAATACAAAAAATTAGCCAGGCATAGTAGCAAGCACCTGTAGTCCCAGCTGCTCGGGAGGCTGAGGTGGGAGGATCACTTGAGCCTGGGAGGCAGAGGTTGCAATGAGCCAAGATCAGGCCACTGCATTCCAGCCTGGGCAACACAGTGAGACCTTATCTCAATAAAATTTAAAAATGTTTTAAATTAAAAAAAAAAAAAGATTGCAATCTATTTGAAATAGTACACTGATTACTTTTATAGAAAAATGTATCCTCCATTATAATCATGGCAATAATAAATTAATCCGGAACCGATACTTCCAGCCTACAAAGGGATAAAGCCAGTGAGCTAACACATTCTATTGTCTGCCTACAGACAAGGTATCCTGTTCACTTGGAAGCTCCTTGAAAGAAAAAATTATTCCACTGCATGAAAACAAATCTAACATATGTCAAATTAAATTGTGTCCTATACTGACACACCAAGAAAAGAAAGAAGCAGAAGTTTAAAGACATGGAAACTTCAAAAGAATTCTCTAAGGATGCAAGGGCTAAACTACCTTTTTCTTTTGATCCTACAAAAAAAAAAAAAAAGATTAGTATATTATTAATGTCCTATAAAAGCACTACCTTCCTTTACTAATGAAAGGAAATTAACTCTCGGCCAGGAACATTATATATTCTTTGTGCCAAAAAACTAACTTAAAGGATAACAAAATATAAAACTTGTTTATCCGGGCTGGGCGTGGTGGCTCATGCCTGTAATCCCATGGCCGAGGTGGGCGGATCACCTGAGGTCAGGAGTTCGAGACCAGCCTGACCAACACGGTGAAACCCCATCTCTACTAAAAATACAAAAATTAGCCGGGCATGGTGGCGCATGCCTGTAATCCCAGCACTTGGGAGGCTGAGGCAGGAGACTCACTTGAACCTGGGAGGAGGAGGTTGCAGTGAGTTGAGATCACACCATTGCACTGCAGCCTGGGCAACAAGAGTGAAACTCCATCTCAAAAACAACAACAACAACAAAACTTGTTTATCCTTAGTTTTCTGTCCTAGGACTAAGGCATGGTAAACCCTCAGCAAATGCTCAGTGAATTACTGGCAGTCTAAATAAAGGAAGAGATATTCCATGTACATGGATAGGAAGACAATACTGTCAAGATGTCATTTCTTCGCAACTTGATCTTTTTTTTTTTTTTTTTTTGAGACAGAGTCTCGCTCTGTCGCCCAGGCTGGAGTGCACTGGCCGGATCTCAGCTCACTGCAAGCTCCGCCTCCTGGGTTTACGCCATTCTCCTGCCTCGGCCTCCCGAGTAGCTGGGACTACAGGCGCCCGCCACCTCGCCCAGCTAATTTTTTGTATTTTTTAGTAGAGACGGGGTTTCACCGTGTTAGCCAGGATGGTCTCGATCTCCTGACCTCGTGATCCGCCCGTCTCGGCTTCCCAAAGTGCTGGGATTACAGGCTTGAGCCACCGCGCCTGGCCCAACTTGATCTATCTTAATTACAACACAATCCCAATTAAAATCTCAGCAAGGGCCGGGCGCAGTGGCTCATGCCTGTAATCCCAGCACTTTGGGAGGCCAAGGCAGGCGGATCACAAGGGCGGGAGATCGAGACCATCCTGGCTAACAAGGAGAAACCCCTTCTCTACTAAAAATACAAAAAAATCAGCTGGGCTTGGTGGCGGTCACCTGTAGTTCCAGCTACTCGGGAGGCTGAGGCGAGAGAATGGCACGAACCCAGGAGGCGGAGCTTGCAGTGAGCCCAGATCAGGCCACTGCACTCCAGCTTGGGCGACAGAGAGACACTCTGTCTAAAAAAAAAAAAAAAAAAAAAAAAAAAATCCCAGCAAGTTATTTTGTGAATTTCAATAGACTCAAGTTTATATGCAAAAGACCCAGAATGGCCTAAACAATTTTGAAGAGGAAGAACAAAACTTCAAGAGTTACTATAAAGCTCCAATAACCAAAACAGTGTGGTATTGGTGGAAGAACAATCAGATAAATGGAACAAGATACAGAGCCCAGAAACAGACCCATATAAGCACCGTCAGCTGATATTTAACAAAGAAGTGAAGGCATTTCAACAGAAAAAGGATAGTGTTTTGAACAAATGGTACCGCAACAACTGTACACCCAAATACTAAAAGACAATAGAAGAGAAAATCTAGATGACTCTGGGTATGACAATGACTTTTTTAGAAACAACAATAAAGACACAATCTATGAAAGAAATAATTGATAAGGTATACTTCATCGAAAATAAAAACTTCTGCACTGCAAAAGGCAACGTCAAAACAATTAGAAGATAAACCAGGCTGGGCGCGGTGGCTCACGCCTGTAATCCCAGCACTTTAGGAGGCCGAGGTGGGCAAGATCATGAGGGTCAGGAGACATCGAGACCGATCCTGGCCTAACCACGGTAAACACCCCCGTCCTCTACTAAAAATACAAAAAATTAAGCCAGGGCGTGGCGGTGGGCACCTTGGTTAAGTCCCCAGCTCCTTGGGAGGCTGAGGGCAGGAGAATGGCATGAACCCGGGAAGGGAAGGAGCTTGCCAGTTACGCCGAGAATTCGCCGTCAACTGCACTCCAGCCTGGGCGACCTGAGAGGGGAAAAAAAAAAAAAGAAGATAAACCCCACAAGACTCGGGGAGAACATATTTAAAAAGATATATCCTGTTAAAGAACTATTTAAAATATGCAAAGGACCTCTTAAACAAATAAGAAAACAACAGCGACCCCCCCGCACAGACCCGGCTGGGCGTGCTGGCCTCATGGCCTGTAATGCCACAGCCACCCTCCTTGGGAGGGCCAAGGGGGCAGATACTGAAGGGTCAGGAGTTCCGAGACCCAGCCTGGCTAACATGGAGAAACTCACGCTCTTTACTAAAAAATACAAAATTCAGCCAGGCATAACGGCACATGCCTTGTAATCCCCAGCCTAAAACCATACAGCCCACCAACACGTGGGGGACTCTCTTTAAGTTTACGGATAATAATGTGTTCAATATTGGCTCCAATTGCAAGCTTATGTGTCCATACAAATGAAAGCTGTTAATAGGATAAATTGCTGTGGGAGCGTTGATAGGGGATGGAATGTGAAACCCTCTGTACTTTCTACTCAATTTTTCTGATAACTTAAAAATTCTTCTAAAAAATAAACTCAAGACCCCGGGCGCGGTGGGTCAAGCCTGCAATCCCCAGCACTTGGGAGGCCCGAGACGGCGGATCACGAGGATCAGAAATCGGAGACCATCCTGCGCAACAGCGGTGAACAACCCCCGTCTCTACTAACAATACAAAAAAAACTAGCCAGGCAGGTGGCGGGCCGTCCCCTGTAGTCCAGCTAACTTGCGGAGGGCCTAAGACAGGAAATGGGGCCGGTAACCCGGGAGGGCCGGCAGCTTGCAGTGAGCTGGAGATCCCCGCGCAACTGTAGACCTCTCCAGCTGGGCGGCAGAGCCGAGACTTCCCGTCTCCAAAAAAAAAAAACAAAAACAAAAAAAAAACTTACCACTCTTAGTAATCCTTTCTCTTACCACTTGTACTTCCTTTCTTTTTTAGTAGAGACAGGGTTCACCATGTTGCGCTCATCGCTTGCGTCTCTCTTTCAACTCCTCGCACTCAAGCCAATCCACCTCCTTGCCTCCAAGTGCTGGCGCCGTATCCACGGCGTTCGGCAGCCCACCGTGCCCGGGCCAACGTCCTTATTAACTTTTAAAAAAACACAAAATTAAAATACACACTCTTACCAGGTCTAATGAAGACGTTCTTCCACCAGACAACATTGGCTGAAATATTGGCCAAGTAGTAGATCTTCCATCAGCGGAAGCAGCTTTTTTATACTCCGCACACTGATCAGCAATCGTCGCCGACGCGCAAAGCGACAACTCCACCATAAACGCAAACCCAATCCTGGGTGGAACATGGCCACTCCTTAATACAAAGAACAAGTTTTTTAGTCTTTCTACATTCGGGGCAGCGCTCTGCAAAATGTAACATTCATCATTCAGAAATAAATCAAATATAATTTACACTTTACCTCCAATCACTCCAGAAGCTTCAAGCATTCATTTAAGAACAATTAGGCAAACGTGGTGCTCATGCCCTCTATCCCTAGCAACTTTGGGAAGCTGAGGCAGGTGGATCACCTGAGGTCAGGAGTTCAAGACCAGCCTGGCCACAATGGCAAAAACCCATTTCTATTAAAACACAAAATTAGCTGGGTGTGGTGGCGCATGCACTTTGTAGTCCCTGCTATTTGGGAGGCTGAGGCAGGAGAATCACTCAAAACCTGGGAGGGCAGGAGTTGCAGTGAGCCTGAGATCGTGCCCCGCCGACTCCCAGCCCTGAATGACAAAGCCAGACTCCATCTCAAAAAAACAAAAAACAAACGAACAAAAAAAACCCCCAAAAAAAGTTAAATACTGTGGTTACTGCTAAGAGAAACACGAAGATAAATCCCTACTGTCAAAAGTTATAATACATCCAGTAAGCAATGAGGCAGAATAAACAAATATAATAAAAGATGCAAACATGTTACAAAAGCATAGAGGGGCCCAGTGCAGTGGCTGACACCGGTAATCCCAGCACTTTGGGAGGCTGAGGTAGGTGGATCACTTGAGGTCAGGAGTTCGAGACTAGCCTGACCAATATGGTGAAACCCTGTCTCTACCAAAATATAAAAAAATTACCAGGGCATGGTGGTACATGCTTATAACCCCAGCTCCTTGGGAGCTGAGGCAGGAGAATTGCTTGAACCTGGGAGGCGGAGACTGCAGTGAGCTGAGATTGCACCATTGTACTCCAGGCCAGCCTGGACAACAAGAGCAAAACTCTGTCTCAAAAAAAAAAAAAAAGAAAGAAAATGTCTTTGAAGACATGACAGAATAATAATTGTATTTTTATTTTATTTTACCTTTTTTTTTTTTTTTTGGAGACAAGGTCTTGCTCTGTCCCTCAGGCTGGAGTGCAATGGCGCAATCTCCTCAACTCACTGCAACCCCCACCTCCGAAGCTCAAGTGATCCTCCCACCTCAGCTTCCTGAGTAGCTGGCACTACTGGTGTGTGCCACCACGACCGTCTGATTTTTGTATTTTCAGTGGAGATGGGTTTTACTATTTCCCAGACTGGTCTCGAACAACCGTACTCAAGCAATCTGCCCGCCTTGTCCTCCTCCCAAAGTGCTGGAATTACAGGCGTGAGCCACCACACATCCAAGAGAATAATTATTAATATCAAACTTTACCCCATCACACAAACATAAAAACAAGGACTCTGGCTCCTTTATCATTTTTATGTATCTAGCATAATGCCTGGCACTAAAATGGTACTCAGAAATTACTTGCTAAACAATACTAATATTTATTAAACAAAAGGGGTTTTATCTTGTAGTTTTTCTCTCTCTTTTTTTGTTTTTTTTAGACGAAGTCTCGCTCTGCCACCCAGGCTGGAGTGCAGTGGCACGATCTTGGCTCACTGCAAGCTCCGCCTCCCAGGTTCACGCCATTCTCCCGCCTCAGCCTCCCAAGTAGCTGGGACTACAGGCGCCCGCAACCATACCCAGCTAATACTGTTTTTGTATTTTTAGTAGAGACAGGGCTTCACCATGTTAGCCAGGATGGTCTCAATCTCCTGACCTCATGATCCACCCACCTCAGCCTCCCAAAGTGCTGGGATTACAGGCGTGAGCCACCGCGCCAGGCTAGTTTTTCAATCAGAATTGTGATGAAAGACTAACGACAAATTCTAACTTCAAGTAAAACAATCCATTCAATGTAAACAAATTATTTTCTACTGATAGAGAAAGGTATTTAGAGCCCTGTTTAAAAAGAGATCAATATCTGTTTTGGTTATGCGTTTTTTTTTTGTTTTTTTTTTTTACCTGTCAATAGCATCACACTGGTAAAGTTGTTTAAGAGCTTCTAAAATAAGTCTCTCATTAGGTGGATCCAAATAGGGAAACCTGTGTGTTTAAATAAGATATGAAGTGAGAGGCATTCCTTGAACATGGTAGGATTTTATATAGATATGACGAAAATTTCTTTAAAAGGTTTTATTTCTATTTTTCAAGTCATCTTTTTCTAAAAAAAAATTCTATGATCATGATCAGCATTCAGCAAAAGAGGAAATAATTTTTTTCTGAATCACACTCCTCTACTGCAAGAAGTGATTCTTTTTGACTCCCCTTAGCTGAAATACTCTCACCAGTCTCCCTACTTATCCTAATCCTGCCCCACCCGTCCTTCACAGCCAATGTCAAGTGTACTCTTTCCTGTACTCCATAATTTTTTTCCAAACTTTTATAAAAATAGTAGAGAAATATTAATTGAAAGTGGCTGAAAATTATAAATTGTTCAATAGTACCTTAAAATGCTTTTTTCTTTTTGGAGACGGAGACTCACTCTGTTGCCCAGGCTGGAGTGCGATGGCACGATCTCTGCGCACTGCAACCTCCATCTCCCAGGTTCAAGCAATTCTCCTGCCTCAGCCTCCCGAGTAGCTAGGACTACAGGCACATACCACCACGCCTGGCTAATTTTTTGTATTTTAGTAGAGACAGGGTTTCACCGTGTTGCCCAGGCTGGTCTTGAACTCCAGTGCCTAAGCAATCCGCCCACCTTGGCCTCCCAAAGTGCTAGGATTACAGGCGTGAGCCACCACACCTGGCCTCAAAATACTTTTTAAATTTAATTTAATTTTTTTTTTTGAGACGGAGTCTCACTCTGTTGCCCAGGCTGGAGTGCAGTGGCGTAATCTGGGCTCATTGCAAGCTCCGCCTCCCGGGTTCACGCCATTCTCCTGCCTCAGCCTCCTGAGTAGCTGGGACTACAGGTGCCTGTCACCACACCCCAGCTTAATTTTTTTGTATTTTTAGTAGAGACAGGGTTTCCACCGTGATAAGCCGGATGGTCTCAATCTCCCTGACCTCGTGATCGCCCGCCAGCCTCCCAAAGTGCCTGGATTACAGGCCGTGAGCCCCCAGCACCCGGCCTAAAACAAATTCTTTAACAGACCCATAGCATTAAGTTCATATTAAGTTGTATGAGTCTGACAATTTCCAGATCCTCTACCACATGTATTTGCAATTGGTCATCCCAAACACAGGATATAAAATATATCCTTTCAAATGTATACCTGTTTGATTTTTGCCCATGGTTCTAATCTGTTAGTCATTTTAAAGTTTGGTTAATGCTCCTGAATGACTACTGGGTAAATAAACGAAATGAAGGCAGAATAAAGACGTTCTTTGAACCAATGAGAACAAGAACACCAATTATACCAGAATCTCTGGGACACATTTAGGCAGTGTGTAGAGGGAACTTTATAGCGCCTAAATGCCCACAAGAGAAAGCAGGAAAGATCTAAAATTGACACCCTAACATCCAATTAAAAGAACCTAGAAGAAGCAAGAGCAAACACTTTCAAAAAGCTAGCAGAAAGGCAAGAAATAACTAAGATCAGAGCAGAAGTGAAGGAGATAGAGGCACCAAAAAACCCTCCAAAAAAAACAATGAAATCCAGGAGCTGGTTTTTGAAAAGATCACAAAATTGATAAGACCCACTAGCAGACTAATAAAGAAGAAAAGAGAGAAGAATCAAATGATGCAATAAAAATGATAAAGGGGATAACACCACCAATCCACCAGAAATACAAACTACCATCAGAGAACACTATAAACACCTTTACCAAACAAACTAGAAAATCTAGAAGAAATGGATAAATTCCTCGCACACACACCCTTCCCAAGACTAACCAGGAAGAAGGTGAATCTCTGAATAGACCAATAACAGGCTCTGAAATTGACGCAATAATTAACAGCCTACCAACCAAAAATCCAGGGCCAGATAGATTCAACCGCCTGAATTCTACCAGAGGTACAAGGAGGAGCTGGTACCGATTCCTTCTCAAACTACTGCAATCAATAGAAAAAGAAGGGAATCTCCCCCTAACTCCATTTTATGAGGCAGCATCATCCTGATACCAAAGCCTGGGAGAGACACAACAAAAAAAAGAGAATTTTAGACCAATATCCCCGTGATGAACACTCGATGCAAAAATCCCTCAATAAAATACGTGGCAAAACTGAATCCAGCAACACATCAAAAAGCTTATCTACCATGATCAGTGGGCTTCATCCCTGTGATGCCAGGCTGGGTTCAACCATACGCCAAATCAATAAACGTAATCCAGCATAATAACAGAACCAATGACAAAAACCACATGATTATTCAATAGATGCAGAAAAGGCCTTTGAACAAATTCAACAAGCCCTTCTGCTAAAAACTCTCAATAAATTAGGTATTAATGGGATGTATGCTCAAATAATAAGGAGCTATTTATGACAAACCACCAGCCAATATCATACCTGAATGGGCAAAAAATGGAAGCATTCCCTTGAAAATTGGCACAAGACAGGGATGGCCCTCTCCTCACCACTTCTATTCCAACATAGTGTTGGCAGTTCTGGCCAGGACAATCAGGCAGGAGAAGAAATAAAGGAATTCAATTAGGAAATAGAGGAAGTCAAATAGTCCTGGTTTGCAGAGGACACGATTGTGTATCTAGAAAACCCCATCGTCTCAGCCCAAAATCTCCTTAAGCCTTGATAAGCAAACTTCAGCAAAGTCTCAGGATACAAAATCAATGTGCAAAATCACAAGCATTCTTATACACCAATAAACAACAAACACAGAACCAAATCATGAGTGAACTCCCATTCACATTGCTTCAAAGAGAAATAAATACCTAGGAATCCAACTTACAAGGATGGTGAAGGACCTCTTCAAGGAGAACTACAAACCACTTGCATCTCTACCAAATATAAAAGAGGATACAAACAAATGAAAGAAACATTCCATGCCTCATGGATAGGAAGAATCAATCATAGAAAATGGCCACACTGCCCAAGGTAATTTATAGATTCAATGCCATTCCCATCAAGCTACCAATGACATTCTTCACAGAATTGGAAAAAATTACTTTAAAGTTCATATGGAACCAAAAGAGTCCGCATTGCCAAGTCAATCCTAAGCCAAAAGAACAAAGCTGGAGGCAACACATTACCTGACTTCAAACTATACTACAAAGCTACAGTAACCAAAACAGCATGGTGCTGGTACCAAAACAGAGATATAGACCAATGGAACAGAACACAGCCCTCAGAAATAATATCATACATCTACAACCATCTGATCTTTGACAAACCTGAGAAAAACAAGAAATGGGGAAAGGATTCCCTATTTAATAAACGGTTTTGGGAGAACTGGTAGCCATATGTAGAAAGCTGAAACTGGATCCCTTCCTTACACCTTATACAAAAATTAATTCAAGATGGATTAAAGACTTAAATGTTAGACCGAAAACCATAAAAACCCTGAAACCCTAGAAGAAAACCTAGGCAATACCACTCAGGACATAGGCATGGGCAAGGACTTCATGTCTAAGACACCAAAAGCAATGGCAACAAAAGCCAAAATTGACAAATGGGATCTAATTAAACTAAAGAGCTTCTATACAGCAAAAGAAACTACCATCAGAGTGAACAGGCAACCTACAGAATGGGAGAACATTTTTGCAATCTACTCATCTGACAAAGGGCTAATACTCAGAATCTACAAAGAACTCAAACAAATTTACAAGAAAAAAACAAACAATCAACAAGTGGGCGAAGGATATGAACAGACACTTTTCAAAAGAAGACATTTATGCAGCCAACAGACACATGAAAAAATGCTCATCATCACCGGCCATCAGAGAAATACAAATCAAAACCACAATGAGATACCATCTCACACCAGTTAGAACGGTGATCATTAAAAAGTCAGGAAACACCAGGTGCTGGAGAGGATGTGGAGAAATAGGAACACTTTTACACTGTTGGAGGGACTGTAAACTTGTTCAACCATTGTGGAAGACAGTGTGACAATTCCTCAGGGATCTAGAACTAGAAATACCATTTGACCCAGCCATCCCATTACTGGGTGCATACTCAAAGGATTATAAATCATGCTGCTATAAAGACACATGCACACGTATGTTTATTGTGGCATTATTCACAATAGCAAAGACTTGGAATCAACCCAAACATCCAACAATGATAGACTGGATTAAGAAAATGTGGCACATATACACCACGGAATACTATGCAGCCATAAAAAATGATGAGTTCATGTCTTTTGCAGGAACATGGATGAAGCTGGAAACCATCATTCTCAGCAAACTATATCACAAGGACAAAAAACCAAACACTACATGTTCTCACTCATAGGTAGGAATTGAACAATGAGAACACTTGGACACAGGAAGGGGAACATCACACACTGGGGACTGTTGTCGGTGGGGAGAGTGGGGAGGGATAGCATTAGGAGATATACCTAATGTAAATGACGAGTTAATGGGTGCAGCACACCAACGTGGCACATGTATACATATGTAACAAACCTGCACGTTGTGCACATGTACCCTAGAACTTAAAGTACAATAAAATAAAAAAATAAAATAAAGCTTGGTTGTAATAATCTACCTGTTAGATATTAAGATATTTTCCAGAAAAAGTAATCATGACTTCAATATTTTTATTCAATATCATTATTAAAAATGTTTATCAAGAAAAAACTAAGTCCAGCACAATACTAGTAAAACCTTCACCTAGTCTACACTACGCAATTAATTAATACTTTTTTAGAGTGGGCTATTTGGCAACTATAATCAGCAGTACTGTCATCTACAGACGACTTTTTTATTCACAAAGATATCAAATGCAGTATTGTTAAGTACTGTGCTGAAAATAAAAGACATTAGGTTAACTTTCAATAAATTCTTGTGGAGCACCCATTATGTGGATGGTCCTGAAAAGGAAACGGCTTATAATGACATATTTGGCCAGGCATGGTGGAACACGCAGGTAATCCCAGTCACTCAGAAGGCTGAGACATGAGAATCGCTTGAACCTGGGAGGCAGAGGTTACAGTGAGCTGAGATTGCACTACTGCTCTCCAGCCTGGGTGACAGAGTGAGATCCTGTCTCAGAAAACCAAAACCAAACACAACAACAACAAAAAATAACATATTCATTGTGAACTTTTAAAATTCATACTCATTAATCACTGTTAAATTTCCTTAAACCATTCTCAATAAGTTTATATAAGTAATAGAGTTCCCTAGTAATCAATGTCAAGCTTACTGGGTAGTTGTTTCCAGAACCCGCCCTTTTTACTAAATGAAAAAAATCAAGACATTTGCCTTTCTCACCATTTTCTGATAACCTATTCTGCATAATTTCTCACAGATGACCTACGACTCTGACACTAAATCTGCAAGTACTTTTAGCACCACAGAAATAATGTCTAAATGCTCAAGACAAAATCATTTATGGTGGTTGGGTTTTCCCTCATTATTTCCTAATCCATCTTTGTCATCAATTCCTTCTTATTCAGACCTGTTCTTGCATTTTCAGTTTTAAAATCATTCTTCCTGATGGAAGAGAAAGGGAAAGCAAAATAATAACTGAGAAGCTCCATTTTCTTTCTGTCATCTGTGAATACTATACCATCTATCCCAAACACTGGGTCTACCTCTCCTTATTCTTTATACTTTTTAAAAAGGAAGCCTGTTTGGTTTTTGTTTCAAGCATTTTGAAACAAAATTTTGCGATTTTTAGTACACATAGGTTTTAAGACTTAAGATGGAAAAATAATTCAGTGCAGATGATATTAATTACTGTTCCTATTTTTCTAATATATACTCATTCTTGGTTAGAGGCTGCTCTGCTATCCTTTGTGAATATACTAGGAGTCAATATTAAGCTTACTGAGCAACTATTTCCAAAAACGGCCCTTTTTCCCCAAATGAAAAAAATCAAGACATTATTTTAAAATCTAGGTTCATCTGAAAGTTTTCTGTTTGGCTATCTGGATTTCTTTAAATGGCTCTTTCCTTCTTTTCACTGGTATAATTTATTGTTACAGTCAGAATTTCATGTATTACATGCTTTTCTCTTTCTAGTATCTACATATTCTCATTCAGAAAATCTCTAGTCTAATGATAAGTATCAAAACATTTTGAAATTGGCAAATTGACTTTCCAAGAGTATACAATGAGTATTTGTGGGTTTTGGGGTTTTTTTGTTTTTCATTTTTGGAGGCAGAGTTGAGCTCTTGTTGCCCAGGCTGGAGCGCGATCTCAGCTCACTGCAACCTCTGCCTAGCGGGTTCAAGTAATTCTCCTGCCTCAGCCTTCCAAGTAGCTGGGATTACAGACGAGCACCACCATCCTGGCTAATTTTGTATTTTTAGTAGAGATGGGGTTTCACCATGTTGGCCAGGGTGGCCTTGAACTCCTGACCTCAGGTGATCAACCCATCTCAGCCTCCCAAAGTGCTGGGATTACGGGCATGAGCCACCACACCTGGCCTACAATACATATTTGGATGCACCTAATAATCACTTACTATGAATTTAAAAACTGCACAGTTATCCTCCCCTAAAATTCCTGAACACTTTTAAATTCCAAGGGAATTAAGAACAAAATAAAGAACAAGATAGCACTTTCCTCCCCTAATTCCTCTACCATGTATGATAGAAATTTCAATCTACAACAATATTCTATCCTATACCAATAAATTATATTGTTTAACATTTGGCTAATTTAACTGTTCTAAAGGATAGAACTGTTATTCTATCCTTCATTTCACATGTCTGAACCTTATTTCTCTAATATAACTTAAGCTTAAGCTTAGTGAAAGCAAAAAACTACAGAGTATTACTCTGTCTTTCATGGTATATAGTATAATGCTGGCCATACAAAAAAAACACTCCACTTTCCAACGTATACCCTTTTTTTTTTTTTGAGACATAATCTCACTCTGTTGACCAGGCTGGAGTGCAGTGGCGTGATCTTGGCACATTGCAACCTCTGCCTCCTGGGTTCAAGTGATTCTCGTGCTTCAGCCTCTGGAGTAGCTGGGACTACAATCACATGTCACCAAACTCAGCTAATTTTTGCATTTTCAGTAGCTACAGGGTTTCACCAGGATGGCCAGGCGGGTCTCAAACTCCTGGCCTCAAGGGATCCTCCCACCTTGGCCTCCCAAAATGCTAGGATTACGGATGTGAGCCACCGCACCCAGCCCCTTTCTTTTGAAACAGGGTCTCACTCTGTTGCCCAGGCTGGAGTGCGCTGGTGCAATCATGGCTCACTGCAGCCTCTACCTCCCAGGCTCCAGCGATCTTCCCATCTCAGCTTCCAAATATCTGGGACTCAAACATGTACCATATCAGACTTTTTTTTTTTTTCTTTTAATTGTAGAGACAAGGTCTCACTATGTTGCCCAGGCTCATCTCGAACTCCCAGGCTCAAGCAACCTTCCCACTTTGGCCACCCACAGTGTTGGGATTACAGGCATAAGCCATTATGCCCAACTCATTATATACCTTTCATTACAAATAAACAGTGGTCATTAAGTGATCCAAATAAACATCAGCACAACCCCCCAACGCCACCATTAAGCCAAGGTTAATCATGAGCAAGAGATCCTACTAAAGCAATGCAAGGAAGTCTTCCGTGTTAGTTTAATTGAAAAGCAACCAACAGGACAAGGCACAGTGGCCTGTGTAATCCCAGCATTTTGGGAGGCCAAGGCGGGTGGATCACCTGAGGTCAGGAGTTCGAGACCAGCCTGACCAACAAGGTGAAACTCCGTCTCTACTGAAAATACAAAAATCAGCTAGGCATGGTGGCCAGTCCCTGTAGTCCCAGCTACTCAGGAGGCTGAGACAAGAGAATTGCTTGAACCCAGGAGGCGGAGGTTGCAGTGAGTGGTAATCATGCCACTGCTTTCCAGCCTGGGCGACGGAACAAGACTCCATCTCAAAAAAAAAAAGAAAACAACCAATATGAAAACCAACCTCTAAAAGAGGTTAGCCTAAACTCTCAGGGATGTATGAGTCAAATATTTCAAAATAATTTTTGAGCCAATAACTTGGCTCTATGCTAACAAGTTTTTCTTTTTTTTTCTAGTTGTCTACATACCTTATGACATCGTGTATGGCAAGGCACTTTAAGGTCAGAACTACAGATGTCAAACTAGTTCTCTTAATTTCAGGGATCACATGGTCAGGCATACACTGGTTCCAAAAATCTTTACTATAGATCCGAAAGCATTTTCCTGAAGAAGTCCTGCCAGCTCGGCCACTTCGCTGTAATGCCTCGCTCCTACAGAAGGAAAATAACGCAAAAAGTCTCCAAAGTATTCTGTGTGTTTCTCAGGTAATTTACTTTTTCTCCCCAAACCAGCTAGAAATTACCTAATCAGTTGTTCTTTGAATAAAAAGATTTGACATAGAGACTTACTTTGAAATTGGAACCACCTCCAGGATGTCCAACCCTAATCTGGGGTTGTGATTTAACTGCTTCACAAAGCCACCATCTACCACATATCTAAGAAGAATCAAAGCAAGTTAAGTTTCTGGAAAATAAAAGAAGACTTGTTAATTTTTAACCACTTTGGTTTCTCCTTTTCTAGCAAACTAGCAAGTACACAATGCCTTTTATGTTACGTGTAAAACTTGAAAGTCAAGAAATTGGAACCCTCATATGTTGCTGATGGGAATGTAAAACGGTTCAGCCAAGGTGGAAAATTGTTCAGGGGTCCTCAAAAAGTTAAACACAAAATGACCATATGATCCAGCAACTCTGTTTCTAAGTATACACCAAAAAGAACTGAGAACAAGTACTCAAACAAATACTTATAGACCAATGTTCATATTAGCACTATGAATCATAGCCATAAGGTAAAAACAACCTAAATGTCCATTAACCATTCATTAATGGATGAAAGGATGAAAAAAATGCTTTGCATATATGTATGCAGTATATATACACACACAATTGAATATATATATACACACACACACACACTCACACTATGCAATATTATTCAGCCACAAAAAAGAATGAAGAACAGATAGATGCTACAATGTTGACAAACCTCAAAAATATTATGCTAAGGGAAAGAAAGCAAACACAGAAGGCCACATATTATATGATTCTATTTGTATGAAATATTCAGAACAGAAAATACATACTGCTTCCTGCTGACACATCTAAAGAATTTAAAAAAAAAAGAAAACGCATACAAACAAAAAGTAAGACTGGTAGTTGCCAAGGGCTGGGGTCGAGAGAGGAATGTGGAGTATGTGCTTAATGGATATGGGGTCTTATTTTGAGGTGTTGAAATATTTTAGAACTAAGTAGAAGCAGTGGTTGCACAATACTGTAAATGTACTAAGTATTACTTAATTGTTCATTTTTAAATTATTAATTTTATGTGAATTTTGCCTCAATAAAAAAAATACACAAACTTGAAAGTCAGTTTCAGACCATTTTAACAGATTCAGAATCTAATTTCAACTAGCCCTTAACATGCCATTCTAAGCCAATTAAATGGTGAACAAGTCAGGTAAGGAACCAAAGCAGGATAGCAGTAACAAGACAACATTCTGAATCTTGTTATTTAATGGCTTTTGCCTGTGTAGGAAACAGAAAACTACAGAGGTTAATTTACCCAGGAGAGCACTCCCTTAACCCCTTAGCGTTATTTTTAAAGTAACAAAGAAAAGCAGAGTAAATTAAGACTTCCTCTCAGACCTGGGTGATCATTTTACCCAGAAGAAACACACAGGATCTCTGAGATTCAGGTTCAGCCTTCCTTAGGCAGACAATCAGACTTAGCTAAAGACATAAAATATATTGGGTAAATGATAAATAACCCAGTCTTAAAGAACTTTGCATTAGTTATCAGTCCAGACTTAAAATTTCTTAGTGTTCCCTTACTAAATTTACTCAAAAATTTGATAGCACTATTTACTACACCCAGAAAAGATAAGGGACCTGAATCATAGTTAATTTTCACAAAAAGATAAAAAGTCAGAGACAATACATCCAGATAAACACTGGATATACAACTAACTCTACCAAGTGAGGCTGCAAGGTAGAAGGAAATATCAAATCATCTAAGGTATATGCTTATAATGGGAGTACAGAAAAATAGGTTTGGCTTCCTATTTAGTGAAACCCATGAAGCATTAGACATAATCTACATAATCTTAAATTTGAAAAGAGGAAGCTTCAAGTTGCCAAGCAGTTAAAAAGTGTGAACAGCCAAGTATGGTGACACATGCCTGTAGTCCCAGCTACCCACGAGGCTGAGGCGGGAGGATTGGTTGATCTCCCTTCAAGGCTGTAGTGTGCTATGACTGCATGCCTGTGAATAGTCACTATACTCCAGCCTTAGCAACACAATGAGAACCTGTCTCTAAAAAAAAAAGGGTGAATAGGAATATAGTATGTACCTCCTACTCCATTTCCTGCTCAAAGCAATCAATTACAAAACAAAATAGGTGATTACATGTTAAGAACATTAAAAAGTAGGAGAGAAGGGAATTAGTGGAGGGCACAGAAAAGCAAACTCAGTAATGTTTAGCTAATGTTTAGTAACGATAGGTTTCCTTGACTTTAAGAGAAAGTTCAAAAGTTATACCTGATTCCATCTATTGTCAAAGATGTTGCAGAAATATTGGTGGATATGACACATTTTCTAATTCCAGGTGGAGGTGGCAAAAATATTCTCCTCTGTTGATCTAAAGTATATATAAAAAGAAAATACCAATTTAAAACATGCATGTGTCAAACTCAAGTTTCGAAAAACTCAATTTTTCACTAAAAGTCATGTTTCTAGGCCAGGTGCAGTGGCTCACGCCTGTAATCCCAGCACTTTGGGAGACCGAGGCAGGAGGATCTCAAGGTCAGGATATCGAGACCATCCTGGCTAACACGGTGACATCCCGTCTCTATGAATTGCTTGAATCCGGGAGGCAGAGGTTGCAGTGAGCCAAGATCGCACCACTGCACTCCAGCCTGGGTGATAGAGCGAGACTCCATCTCAAAAAAACAAACAAAAAAAAAAACGGAGGCAACAGAAGATCCAGAACATTATTTTCAATGTGGCAGTAAGAAAGATGAAATTATTTACTCTGTACAGAAAAACATATGTCTATGTATATATTTAGTTAATGGTTAACAACAAACCAAACATAATGGGTTTTTTATCAGTTACAAAGTAAATTATAAAAGCATTGGTGAACCAAATCTTGAGAAAACAATGAGAACCTGAAACAATGATCCTAAGAATTTCCCTGAAGATGTAAAAATCTAAAATAGATATCTATGCTTCAATAGAAAGGAGCTAATATCATCATAAAAGAGATTTCCAAAATAACACATCTATGTTCTTTATTGACACATATATTCCAAAACTTTGTTAATATAGGGATAAGAATCACCCAATCAACAAAAGCTGTTAATACACATACACGTAAAATATAAAAACATTCAAATGCTAATTCCAACTCCAAATAGGAGGCTAAGGTTAATTTCCCTTTAATTTTACAAGTTAAATTCCATAATAAAAGTTTTACAAAACAAATTCTAAACCTCATTCAACAGTATTTACTATGACCAAAATGTCAAATCAAGAGTTTGTATCTGCTCTTGGAATTCACCAAAGAACAGGATCATGCTTGAAAAGCAGACTAAGGCATGGCTACTTTAAAAGGAAAATGATCCACAGCTGGGCATGGTGGCTCACATCTGTAATCCCAGCAATTTGGGAGGCCAAGACAGGCAGATGACCTGAGGTCACGAGTTTGAGACCAGCCTGGCCAACATGGCAAAACCCCATCTCTATTAAAAAACAAACAAAAAAAACTTAGCGAGGCATAGTGGCAAGCACCTGCAATCCCAGCTACTTGGGAGACTGAAGAAGGAGAATCGCTTGAACCCAGGAGGTGGCGGTTGCAGTGGGCTGAGATTGCACCACTGCACTGCAGCCTGGGTGACAAGAACGAGACTCGGTTACAAAAAAAAAAAAGGAAAACAATCCACTGTGTTTAGACTTAGATATACCTGGATATGTACAATTTCTAAAAATTCTGCGGTAATGGCAAATTAGGTTTGACTTACAGTAATACCAGCAAGAAACTACTGTCCTCATTTCAAAGAATTCTCACCAATAGTTTTGTTTTGCTAGGAGAAACAATACTCTTAACGATAATAAGGGGGATATCCAAGGCTCTCGAAAAAGTGAAATGTAAAAAGACTTCAGGCAAAAATCACTTCTCTCAAGGAATGCTGGTTCTCATTGATTTGTTTCACGATCTAGATGTGGGTTACAAAGGTGAGGTTGGTTTGTGAAACTTAACCTAACCACTTAAGACCTGAGTGCTTTTCTGTAAACCTGATTATTCAATAAAAAGTTTTTTTAAAAAATCAAATTTTCTATTCTAATGAGAAATTACCTGTTGTCATAGATCCATAACATGGCAATATTAACAAGCCATCGAGGGTGGTATCTTGAACATCGTAATCATAATCAACAGACTCTGCCATCTGAAAAAGTAACTCACAACTTTTTTCGATTTCAAACTGGCCTAAAACAGAAAGAAAAAAAAAATTCAGCAACTGAACAGAAAAATAAATTTAATAAAGAAAATGTCAATATTAAAATTAATTTTGCCTAGAAATTATTGTAAATCTCTCATTTAAAGTAAAGGAGATGAACACCTAAGCTGTAACGTATTTCAACCAAAAAATTTGAAGTAGAAGAAACATCAGTTTCTAAGGAACTTAAATCTCTAAAGGAATAAAAATATTTATCATCTTCAAGTTTTTCACCCTGTTAACACAGTATTTGAGAAGACTCACTAAATTGTTAACAAAGGGGAAAAGCTAGTCCAGGTGCTATTGCATTTGGGTAAATTTCAAAATAAGTAATCTCCAAAAGGCAAAGATTGTTACAATCCCTCACTTCTGACATTAGTACAAGGCAGAGGAAAAAAGTAAACAAGGAAACTACTAATTCCTATTAGGAGGGTGCTGCTACTTGAAAAGTTACACTACTAGTTTAGGATTTAACTATTTTATTTTTGCTCTCCAAAAATGCCACATGCTTGTCTATGATACATAGATTTTACACCTTATGTGCTGTTATCACACATAAGGCCACAATGCCACCACCCAAAGAAGAACCTGGTGAGATGTCCTTTGAAATAATGGAATTAACCCAGGTCTGTTTAGTCAGGTTACATTTCTATCTAAGACAGACCAATAAAAACAATATTTCACTATTTAATTTCTTTCAATTAAAAGGTCAGTGTGTTTTACATATATTTACTAATGAGCCTGATGTCTTTGACATTTGACATATATACGTGGATGTGTGTGTGTATATATATACACACACACTACTATGCCTTTGACATAAAATATATATATACTATTATGTCTTTGACATACATATATGTAATTCTCTTTGGCAGCTAGCCTACAATTTTTATATATCTTTTACCTAAAATTATTCAGATAATCAAAAAAAGCTAGGGCAACACTTGAGAAGGGCACAGAATTCCCAACAAAGGTAGCACTCTACTGGGTGTCACATTCCTTACTTACAAATAGTAAGTTTTTTAACTTGATACTAATGCTCACCAGTCAGAAAAACCAAGATGTCTCCAGCCATTTCATTCAAATGGATATCCATGGTGACTTTCACAATCTGAAGCAAGAAATGCAGGCATAATATGCTAGTGGAAATACAGTCATTCCCTTACCACTACACTACTTCCCTTGCCCCACCGAAAAATTAAACTTGGTTCTTAAAAATTCTAGGACCTGTGAGGGCTGTCATTAAAATAGTGGGGAACAAACGAATTATCAAACTACCTAATTAGTAAGAATCACAGATATTAAAAAAAGACATTAAATGAATGCCAAGTAATACCGCTTGAATATATGCAGTATTTTCTCTGTCTCGTGGACCAATCAAATTGCAGAATTTCTCTCTGACTGGATAAAGCCTTCCGGGTATATCAAATATTGGACAATTTCCAAAGAATGCAGAGAGCTTGGCTAATTCCATAGTTGCTGACATTACCACCACTTTTAAATGCTCCTTCCTATTAGGAGACTTCTCCTGAAATAGCTTCTTCAATAAACCAAATAAGATATCCTGAAAGAAAAGTAAATTTCTAGTAAGTCACAAGCACTTAACAACCAAGCTATTTTAAATACATTGCTATTCTATCCAAGGAATTCCTATTTTAATAGATTAAAATATAAGAGCCAAGTGCAGTGGCTCACACCTGTAATCCCAGCACTTTGGGAGGCCAAGGTGGGAGGCCAGGAGGTTGAGACCTGCCAGGGAAACAAAATGAAAGTCTCTACAAAAAATGTTCTTAAAAATTAGCCAGACATGCTGATGCACGTCTGCAGTACTAGCAACTCGGGAGGTTGAGGTGGGAGGATCACTTGAGCCCAGGAGTTCAAGGGTGCAGTAAGCTATGATCGTGCCACTGCTCTCCAGTCTGGGTGATGGAGCAAGACCCTATCTCTAAAAAATTAAATCAAATTAAAAAGTAAGAGGAGGCAATTCTCTATATAGTAAAAAGCTACCCAAACAAGTAAACTACTTGCTAATAATAATAAAAAAATAAAATACTCACTGTAGTTAGAGTTCTTTCATGGGCTTCATCCAAAATAATGACACTGAATTTGGTAAGATTTGGATCTCCAAGAATATGTTTCAGTAAACATCCATCAGTCATATATTTGATTGCTGTCTCCTAATGTTCAAATAGCAGAGTCACAGAAATTCACCACTACTTTCCCAACTAAATTTTTCCTCAAGAGGTACAAACATTAAGTGATCAAACCAATCTGACTAAACAAAAGGGTACATAAAATAGTCTAACTTATGTAGACAAAATGATGGTAAGTCACAAAGCATGCTGTCTATACAAAAAAAGGGACAAATAACTCACTTGGGTATTCTTGGACAAAGCAACAAAAATCACCAATAAGGAGATACAATAAAGTCAGAGGAAAGTGGCAAGATGATGCAATGGCATTAGGTGAGCAAGTTGTGGGAAACAACAGTGAAATGAGATTTATCTTTCTGACTCAGCCCCTATTTCAGAAGATTCAGGGAAAATGAGAAAATGGTAGGTGCATACTTTCCACCCACTCTCTCCTCTTCTCTACCCCACTGTCCTACTAAAAAATGTGTTACTTAGGTCAGACACGGTAGCTTAAGCCTGTAATTCCAGCACTTTGGGATGCTGACGCAGGCAGATCACTTGAGTCCAGGAGTTCAAGACCAGCCTGGACGACATAGCAAAACCACATTTCTAATAAAAATATAAAAATTAGCCAGGTGTGGTGGTGCACACCTGTAGTCCCAGCTACTTGGGAGGCTGAGACGGGAGGACTGCTTGAGCCTGAGAGGCAGAGGCTGCAGTGAGCTGAGATCATGCCATTGCACTCCAGCCTGGGTGACTGAGCAAGACACTATCTCCAAATAAAAATGTGTTACTCAACAAGCATTAAAACAGGGTGAGTAAAAGGTCCAAAGGCTAGGAATAACAGCAATGACATCCATAAAACAAGGGAAGGAAGAAAGAAAAAACAGTGACCACTAGGAAGGCAAAGATAGTATTTTTGGGGGTCAATTTGTGCCATATTTGATGGCCATTCCTTAGGGAACATATGTAAACCAGGGATTGTTTTGTAGCTGGGACAGGATTAAGAAACTCGCAGGGAATATAAATTATAATATTCACTATTAAAAAGAAAATCTTAAATTTGTTGGTGCCATGAATATAGAAGATGCTTAACACTTGCTGATTTTGTTAATTGATTGATTTTGTTAACTCAGCTTTCCACTGACTTCAAGAATACAAACATGGCCGGGCGCGGTGGCTCAAGCCTGTAATCCCAGCACTTTGGGAGGCCGAGACGGGCGGATCACGAGGTCAGGAGATCGAGACCATCCTGGCTAACACGGTGAAACCCCGTCTCTACTAAAAACACAAAAAACTAGCCGGGCGAGGTGGCGGGCGCCTGTAGTCCCAGCTACTCGGGAGGCTGAGGCCGGAGAATGGCATGAACCCAGGAGGCGGAGCTTGCAGTGAGCTGAGATCCGGCCATTGCACTCCAACCTGGGCGGCAGAGCGAGACTTCGCCTCAAAAAAAAAAAAAAAAAAAAAGAATACAAACACACAAAATAAATGAACCTGAAAACATAATCAGTGAAATAAGAGAGACACAAAGTACAAAATACTGTGTGATTCCACTTGTATGAGGTACCCAGAGTAGGCAAATTTGTAGATAGAGAAAGTAGAATAGAAGTTACAGCAGGGCACGGTGGTTCACCCTGTAATCCCAGCACTTTGGGAGGTTGAGGGGGGCGGATCACGAGGTCAGGAATTTGAGACCAACCACATCTCTACTAAAAATACAAAAAATTATCTGGGTATGGTGGTAGGAGCCTGTAATCCCAGCTACTTGGGAGGCTGAGGCAGGAGAATCACTAGAACCCAGGAGGCGGGGGTTGCAGGGAGTGGAGGTCGCGCCACTGCACTCCAGCCCAGGCAACACTGTGAGACTCTGTCTCAAAAAAAAAAAAAAAAAAAAAGTTACCAGAGGCTAGGGGGAGGGAGAAATGGGGGTTTTAATCTATTGTTTAACAGATAAGAGTTTCTGTTTGGGATGATAAAAAAAAGTTCTGAAAGTAGAAATGGTGATGGTTACTCACCATTGTGAACACATTTTTTTTTTTTTTTTGGAGATGGAGTTTTGCTCTTGTTGCCCAGGCTGGAGTGCAGTGGTGCGATCTCAGCTCACCGCAACCTCCACCTCCCAGGTTCAAGCCATTCTCCTGCCTCAGCCTCCTGAGTAGCTGGGATTACAGGCATGCACCACCATGCCTGGCTAATTCTGTATTTTTAGCAGAGACGGGGTTTCTCCATGTTGATCAGGCAGGTCTTGAACTCCCAACCTCAGGTGATCCACCGGCCTTGGACCCCAAAGTGTTGGGATTACAGGAGTGAGCCACCGCACCCAGCCCATTGTGAACATACTTAATGGCACTGAATTGTATATCAAAATGGTAAAATGGTCAATTTTAAGTTATATATATTTTATTACAATAAAGCATTTTAAAAATCTACATGTCAAGAAACCTTACAGTTAAAAAACATAAATAAGAGAATCCTAAGAAAATAAACTGTCATTTATAAACTAAGGAAGGAGAAAATGGAATGAATATCAGACACTTGAAAGCTAAAGCATTAACAATGAATGACAAAAATAAATTATTTAAAATATATATTGAACTTTGAAATTAAAAATCTTTCAGAACTCTCTCCACTCTTTCCGTTAAGTTTATAGTATTAGCTGGGCATGGTGGCATGCTCCTGTAGTCCCAGCTACTCAAGGAGCTGAGGTAGGAGGTGACTTGAGCCCAGAAGGGTAGAGGTTACAGAGAGCCATGATTGTGCCACGCACTCCAGACTGGGCGACAGAGCGAGGCCATGTCCCAAAAAAGAAAAGAAACAAATACCAACAAGACTTTTGTACCTTAGAGCTGCAATCATCAAAACGAACTTGGTATCCTACTTTGGATCCCAAAGTGCATTTCATTTCTTCAGCTACTCTCTGAGCAACTGATATAGCAGCTACTTTTCGTGGTTGAGTTACACCAATCATACCATGTTGTGAAAACCCTATCAAAACCAGAGATAAAGAAATACAACAATGTTAGCAATTGTCTTCCTATTAGAGCTAAATTGTTTTTGGCCAATGAATACAAAACTGCTTGAATGTTTCCAAAAGAATATCCTGCAAATTAAAAACACATTGCTACGTCTGCACTATGAAAATTTAAATATTAATTTAAAATAATACATATTAGTAACCACTCAAAAAATATATACATGTATGTATTTTTTTTTTTTTTTGAGACGGAGTTTCACTCTTGTTGCCTAGGCTGTAGTGCAATGGTGCGATCTCAGCTCACCACAACTTCCACGTACCAGGTTCAAACGATTCTCCTGCCTCAGCCTCCCAAGTAGCTGGGATAACAGGCTTGCGCCACCATGCCTGGCTAATTTTGTATTTTTAGTAGAGACGAGGTTTCTCCATGTTGGTCAGACTGGTCTCGTACTCCCGACCTCAGGTGATCCACCTGCCTCTGCCTCCCAAAGTGCTGGGATTATAGGCGTGAGCCACCACGCCCGGCCAAAAAAAAAAAAAGAGACGGAGTCTTGCTCTGTCATCCAGGCTGGAATGCAGTGGCGCAATCTCGGCTCGCTGCAACTTTCACCTCCCGGATTCAAGCAATTCTCCTGCCTCAGCCTCCTGAGCAGCTAGGATTACAGGCGCACGCCACCACGTCTAATTTTTTTTGTAAAAAATACATTTTTTAAATTAGATTTCAGGCTTTGTTTGGTTTTGTTTTTTCTGTCTAAAAATCTACTCTAAAGGTAAGCCAAGAATTTTGACACATAGGAATTCATAAAATTCCACACACTTCCCAAAATAAATTTACCTTTGCCACAAAACTGGATTTATTTATTAGATAGAGTCTCGCTCTGTTGTCCACGCGGGAGTGCACTGGCACAATCTCGGCTCACTGCAACCCCTACCTCCTGGGTTCAAGCAATTCTCCTGCATCAGCCTCCTGAGTAACTGGGATTACAGGCGCAAGCCACCACACCCAGCTAATTTTGCATTTTTAGTGGAGATGGGGTTTCACCATGTTGGCCAGGCTGGTCTTGAACTCCTGACCTCAAGTGATCCACCTGCCTCAGCCTCCCAATGTGCTGGGAATACAGGCGTGAGCCACCATGTCCGGCCTAAAACTGGATTTAAATATGCCACCTTTCTGCTGGGAGCAGTGGTACATACCTATAATCCCAGCTACTCAGGACCCTGGCTACTCAGGAGGTTGAGGTAGGAGGACTGCTTGAACTCAGGAGTTTGAGACCAGCCTGGGCAACACAGTAAGATCTCATCTCAAAAAAAATCTATATCTATATCTATAGCTATACACCTTCCATATAGCATTTTAGTATCTTTGGGAATGGAGCTGCATCTTAAAATTGATGGCGTGTTTCCATTCTTACTAATACAGTAGTCCCTCTTTACCCTTGGTTTTGCTTTCCAATGTTTCAGTTACCTACAGTCAATGGAGATCCAAAATTACAGTACTTTGAGAGACAGAGAGAGACCACACTCACAGAACTTTTACTACAGTATACTGACGTAACTGTTCTATTTTATTGTGGTTGTTGTTAATCTCTTACTGTGCCTAATTTATAAACTAAACTTTATCATAGGTATGTATGTATGTACAGGAAAAAACATAGTATATGCAGGGTTTGGTATTATTGGCAGTTTCAGGCATTGAGTGGTCTTAGAAGGCATCTCCCAAGGATAAGAGGGGATTATTGCATATAAAATAGTGATATATCTTAATAGATGGCACCTTAGATTTGAAGCATTAGAATAATATATTTCTTTTTTAAGGCAAATCATATCCAATATAATACTGTTCTTTACAAACCTTACAACAGAAAGTTCTGTCATACTGAAAGACACTTGTCAAAAGACAAAATTACAACAAATTTAATTGTTTTTTTTTGACACAGACTCTCACTCTGTCTCCCAGACTGGAGTGCAATGGCATGGTCTCAGCTCACTGCATCCTCCGCCTCCTAGGTTCAAGCAATTCTCCTGCCTCAGACTCCCGAGTAGCTGGGATTACAGGCGCCCACCACCATGTCTAATTTTTGTATTTTTAGTAGAGACTGGGTTTCACCATGTTGGCCAGGCTGGTCTCAAACTGCTGACCTCGTGATCCACCCACCTTGGCCTCCCAAAGCGCTGGGATTACAGGCTTGAGCCACTGCGCCCAGCCTAAAAAACTTTATTTTATTTTATTTTTATTTTTTTATTTTTTTGAGACAGAGTCTCGCTCTGTCTCCCAGGCTGGAGGGCAGTGGCATGATCTCCGCTCATTGCAAGCTCTGCCTCCTGGGTTCACGCCATTCTCCTGCCTCAGCCTCCTGAGTAGCTGGGACTACAGGCACCAGCCACCACGCCCGGCTAATTTTTCTTTTTGTATTTTTAGTAGAGACGGGGTTTCACTGTGTTAGCCAGGATGGTCTCCATCTCCTGTCCTCGTGATCCGCCTGCCTCGGCCTCCCAAAGTGCTGGGATTACAGGGGTGAGCCACCGTGCCCGACCAAAAATTTTTAATTGGCTTTTGTGATTCCAACTCTGGAATCACATCAACCCATCGTCTCATAAAATCGAATGAGTGTTCCAATGAGCTGAGCAGAGGAGGCTGATTGTATAGACAGAAAAGGGCTGAGGGAAAGTAGAAACAGAAAATAAAAAGCAGATTGCTAATTTCAAAGTTACTTTTTTTGTAAAAGTTAAAGCAGAGGAAACTTCTTGATGCTGGCTAAAACTGGTCTGTTTGGGGATTTGGCTATTATCTCTTTCTCCTGATTTCTCAGAAGATTAGATGAAAAATTTAGTTTCTAGACTTGGTGGCATGGAACTTCAGTATGAGTAACTCCATTTCGGTTTGGTCTGTTGGGTCTAGTGCGGGGGATCAGCCCAAACCAAAGGCCTCCTATTAATTTTACTTAACATATTTTAAAGGTAATTTGTTAGTTGGCTTGTGCTGGCAAAGTCAGGGGATATATATTTACCTGATAATGCTCTAGAGAAAGAACCAAGAAGTACTAATGGCAGCAATAGATATCACATATCTCTTCCCTCTCAAAATTATTTCAGTATCCAATGGTTAATAGTTTACTGCTAGACAACCTTATTCTATAAAATGGAATTAATATCTAGATGTAATTCTATTTGAGATTATTATGGTAATTAAAAATGGGAAAATCTGCCATCCCAACTAATTCCTGAACCTGAAATAGACCATAAAGAAGCGAGGGAGACACAGGGGAAGGGGGTGTGCCAAGTGAAGGGGGACTATAAAGCAAATAGTAGGCAACCATGGAGTACAGAAGTCCTACTGGCCTTTAAAAAGAGGATATTTTAAAAATATTTCCAATGTTAGAACAGAAAAAAATCACCTGCTTCATACAGATATTTTGGAAGTTGAGTTGTTTTACCACTTCCTGTATTTCCAGTAACAATAAGGAATGAATTGTCCCTCACAGCTTGAATAATCTTTTTTCTTTGTTTCTGAATAGGAAAAGTTGGAGTAGTTCCTCCCTCCTGGGACGTGCATCCTTTCTCTTCTGTAATAACAGAAAAACAAGTCAATTAAAAGGCTTGTAAAGATATCTCTGACTCAACTTCTCAGGACTGAAACCAGAAAGGCAATATTGAATTTTAGGGCTGGAAGGGATCATCCATGACTTCTCAGTTAAATCGCTCATGTACAATTTGTAAGTGAGGGTTAATGAGCCCAGAACAACTTTTCGGTGAAATTCAGCAACTTGAGCATTTGTTCACGCGTAACTCAAAGTACTTTTCAAAGCAAGTATAGCTCAAGGCAACGTATACACGTGTATACTTACACAGAAGCACAAAACCCAATTTTATTTAACAATAGACCAAAAACTGGAACACAGCAGAAAATTCTCAGCTGGATTAGAAGCCACCTGTGTTTGCTTCTGATTCATGGTTCAAGTTAGGTCCCTGTTCAGAGTGACTGATATCCCAGAAGGCCAAGTGGTGGGTAACCATGGAAACTGGCTCCTGGAAACTGGCTCCCTTCATACCGTACCCAAAGGCAGGCTGGCGGCCCGACGAAGGAGGGGGGAGGATGAATGGGTAGAGAACAAAGGGTTTGAGAGCCTGTTTAAGAACAGAATGCATTTCGGGCGTTGGGGTTCACTTTTTCGCCCCCCAGTAAGGTTTTCGCCCAACTTGGATCTGGGACCGCCCCCCTCTAAGGCAAAGTGCTCATTGGACACAAAGTTCGCCTCGGGCTTGGAAAGCCAGGAGAACGCCACGGCTTCCTCACTACTCTTCTCAGCCGGCCAAAGGCGTACTTTCATCCCCCCCCAAAACCCCCACGCCGTAACTCCCGCTGGCTTCCGTACCGTCCCGCGGACCGCACCTCTATCGGCGATACAAACAGCCGGGGGCCGCTCTTCCTGGAGGTCTCTTGAGCGCTCACCCTCCTCCTGCCGCCTTGGCGCCCTGCCCGCGACTGCGGGAAACCGGGACATAGACCTGGCCCCGAGTGGAGGCGAGCACGTCCACCGATCTGAGGAGATGGGAGGGGAAAGGCGAGGACGCGCCCTGATGACGTAGAGGTGTTTACTTCCGCGCGTGCGACTTGTAGCAAAGGGAGGGGGAGCTGCTGGATGACGTGACACGGGGCGGCCGGGCCGCGAGCCAAGGCTCCACCCCCAGGGATTTCCCGCCAACTGCCACGTGCGCTTCGCCTCGGGAGGCTGAGGCATACCTGAGGGCCCGAAGACCCCCTCTTGTTTCGCCTCTGCGGCGCCAAAGGTCGCGACCACACCTCTTTTCAACGCCACAGTGGTCTCCGCAGGCTATTCTGTCGTCGCACGCCTGACACGATGTGACCCTCTGCCTGGAGCTGGAACCATGGTGCTGCGTTTGGCAACTCATTCTCACTTCACCTTTCCTGATCTGGTATGACCTGTCCAAGGCACACAGCTACTGAGCTGTGGAGCCGAGCTTTTAGTTATGTTATTATAAAAACTTAGGTTGCCGAGGCTGTTCATTTCCCTCACAGGACCCTGAATTTAATTTATTTGCATGTTTCCTCTTCTGCCCAGCTAGATTGTAAAGCCCCCCAAAAGAGCCGGAATATGTAAACACCACTACATCCAGGGTCCCAGTGATTCAAGGTGGGCTGTCAATATTTGTTGATTTTGCTGAAATGGAGGAATGAATAATTGACTTCCTTAGGAATTCAGCTCATTTTTGATAGAGGTGCATTCCTTGGAAACCACAGTAGCTGAAAAGTTCAACAGATACACAACATCTGAGGCAGGGCAACTTTTTCAGAAAAGGTACTTTGGGGACAGGTCTTTCTGTTCTAGAGCCTGCCAATTTTTAAATTATTGTCAACTGTAACGAAATCAATGCAATGTGAACAAGATTGTTTCTTGGACTCCTGAATTGTTCCTGCTGTGAGAATTAACCAACACTTACTACCAAAGAAAACAACTCAAAACTGTCACTTCACCATCACCTAAAGACCCCACTGTCTGACCAGGCTTCAAAAGATGTGCCATAAGGCTATTGGACCCCCAGATTTTTCTGTGCTCATTTGAAGTGAAGTCACGGCCGTGCATGGTGGCTCATGCCTGTAATCCCAGCACCTTGGGAGGCTGGGACAGGTGGATCACTTGAGATCAGGAGTTCGAGACCAGCCTGGCCAATATGGTGAAACCCAATCTCTATTAAAAATACAAAAAAAAAATTAGCCGAGTGTGGTAACACGTGCCTGTAATCCAAGCTACTTGGGAGGCTGAGGCAGGAGAATCGCTTGAACCTAGGGGCAGGGGTTGCAGTGAGCCAAGATCGTGCCACTGCACTCCAGCCTGGGCAACAGAGTGAGATTCCGTCTCAAAAAATAAAGTAAAATAAAGTGAACTCATACCAGCTGTTCTTAAATGGGACTGATCAACACTTCTTAAAATGCAAGCTCATCAGATTTTGAATGATACCAAATAAGTTGGAACTTTGTGACAACTTTATATCTCAAAACCTGGGTATGAGAGGAAACAATCTGGCAAATAGAAGAATATTCCAGGTTTCTCTCTTTCATTAGGAGCATCTCCCAGCCTTCTGGATCATGTTAGGAATTCAAAATACAGAAACAGAATTCAAAATATAGAAACAGAAACCAAAAAGCAAAAATACATTTGTAGTACAGGCAAGGTATTGGTAATCTCAGTATTTTGGTATAGGGCATTTCTATCAGTGATATAATAAAGTCACTTTCTAAAAATCATCATTCCAGACCAATGATGATTACCACTTAGCTCATAGTAGTCAGATCTTTCCGATACAGTTGACCCTGGAACAATACAGGTTTGAACTTCACAGGTTCACTTGTAGGCAGATTTTCTTCTGCACCTGCTAAGCTGCAGATAGCAAGATCAACCCTTTGTCTTCCTCCTGCTTCTCTTCAGCCTACTGAACAGGATGGAAACCTTTATGATGATCCCCTTACACTTAACGGATAGTAAATATATTTTCTCTTCCTTATGATTTTCTTAATATTTTATTTTATCTAGCTTGTTTTATTTTAAGAACAGTATATAATACATATACAAAATATGTATTAATTGTTTATGTTATCTGTAAGGCTTCCAGGCAATAGTTGGTATTAATAGTTAAGCTCTGGGGAATTGAGTAATACACAGATTTTGGCCCAATGCAGTGGTTCACACCTGTAATCATAGCACTTTGGGAGGCCAAGGCGGGCAGATTGCCTGAGTTCAGGAATTCAAGATCAGCCTGGGCAACATAGCGAAACCCCATCTCTCCTAAAAATACCAAAAATATTAGCCAGGTGTGGTGGTGTGTGCCTGTAGTCCCAGCTACTTGGGAGGCTGAGGCAGAAGAACCACTTGAACCTGGGAGACGGAAGTTGGGGTGAGCCGAGATCGCACCACTGCACTCCAGCCTGGGTGACAGTGAGACTCTGTCTCCAAGAAAAAAAAAAAAAGTTATATGCAGATTTTGACAGTGCAAAAGGTTCGTGCCCCTACCCCCACCTTGTTCAGGTTTCAACTGTAAATTATTTCCTTTATTTTTCACAAAAACTCACAGAATTAGGTTATTACTATCCCTAATTTTTGTGTTAGAAACTTGCCTGTGGTGACAAACGAACTAAGAGGGCCAAGATTCAAAGTCACACTAATAACCACTAAACTGCATTGGGAGATGGAACTATTTAGATCTTGGTGCCAAAATAATGTATCTTCTTCCAATGTTTGTAACTCTGATAGAACTGACCCCATTCTTGTATGAGAACCACCTACTGAGAGTATACAATATAAAACCTACAAGCCAAAAATGAAGAAAAATAAAAGCAAAAAATTCAAGTGATGTTTAACATTGTTCATTTTATAACCAAGGACATTTAAAGCATGTTACCATTAATAACCATGTGCTTGGGGCTATTCTAAATTAGAAGACCAACAATTATTTCCTACTCAGTGAGTTTACAAATTACAATGACAAGCAAAACTCAAGTACAGAGTAAAAATAGAAAATACATGGGTTGAATCTGGGAAGAAAGGTCAGTGTCCCCAACGACATTGAATCTATTTCTTTTCTTTGGGTTACATTAAAAACCTGAGGCCAGGCCTGTTATCCCAGGACTTTGGGAGACCGAGGTGGCCAGATCACCTGAGGTCGGGAGTTTGAGACCAGCCTGGCCAATATGGTGAAACCCCATCTCTACTAAAAATACAAAAAAATTAGCCTAGGATGGTAACAGCCACCTGTAATCCCAGCTACACAGGAGGCTGACGGAGGAGAATCACTTGAACCCAGGAGGTGGAGGTTGCAGTGAGCCAAGATCTCACCACTGCACTCCAGCCTGGGCAACAGAGTAAGACTCTGTCTCAGAAAACAAAAACAAACAAACAAAAAAGACACCTGAAAGAACTGGTATTTAAAGAAGTGTGAGAAGTCTGAATTGCCCCCTGCTGCTATTGCTTCATAAGCAGTCTTTCAAAATAGTCTACAATCCAAGCAACCTGTTTCAGAGCATGCAAAAGAGACAGGAAAGAGGCTCAATATTAAAGATTTACAAAAATGGAAGAAAATGTTTAAATCATCTTCAGGAAAGAAAGTATAGGACCACTGTTGTGATGGTTAAAAGGAGTAAGTAAAACCCACACAAGAAAGGAAAATTATCAAAGATATATTATTACAGTCACAACCAGAAAGTTTAAAATGCTAGAAAAATGGTGATATGTACAAACCTAATTAATAACAGAACCTAATTGTTCACAGGAGTGAGCAATGGTATCAAACTACATGGATTTCTTAAGAACTCATTAATTGGACCAAAACAAGACTTGTCTTGGTAAAGAGAAGCAGACAGAAGCCAGATTGTGAGTAAATGAGAATTCGAGAGTAAACTGAAAATGTACCTAATACACTTGGGGATGGCTGGTTAGAATCAACTAGGGTAAATGAAAGGGAGAGAAAAGAATAGCTGGAAAAAGATGCTGCTACTACTGCATATGTGATGATTAAGAAAAGACTTGGTCAATGAAAGTATTGGGGTACAAGGAGAAGATGTGTTCAGGAGAGTTGAAACAGAGATACCGATGAGGGAGAAATACCAAGTTCACATTTTGAGGAAGGATATAGGACTGGAGGAGACAGAACAAACTTTTAGTCCAGATAGGTATTATAAACTTGCATTTGTGGTGGATTTGTATCCAAATGTGAATCTGATTGTTTTTCTGTATTTTCCTCCCCTCTTTCTATCTCACTGGTAACCCATAGGCCTATCTTCCTCTTCAGCCCTCAACAAAGCAGAAACAAGAATCCAAAGACTCTTGACCTGAGGTCCCAAACCAGAGCCTTCTGTGCATGCTCAAATTACTGATTACTTCCTCTCTCTGATGGATAAGACTGGGCCTAGGCAGAGGGCAGAGAGTGGGGAGGATATGAGAAAGGAAGGACTGACAGAAGAGATAAACAGCCCTCCTAGGGGGCAGGAGAAAGATCATCTTTTGTTAGAAAGTTCTAATGGGGCCAGGTGTGGTGGTTCATGCCTGTAATCCCAATACGTTGGGAGGCCAAGGCAGGTGGATTGCTTGAGACCAGGAGTTTGAGACCAGCCTGTGCAACATAGTGAGACCCCATCTCAAGACTCATCTCTACAAAAAATACAAAAATTAGCCAGGCTTGGAGGTGCATACCGGTATTCCCAGCTACTTGGGAGGCTGAGGCAGGAGGATCACTTGAGCCCAGTAGGACAAGACTGCAGTGAACCGTGATGGTGCCATTGCACACCAGCCTGGGTGACAGAGTGAGACCCTGTTTCAGAAAAAAATAAAGAAAAAAGAAAGAAAGAAAAGTTCTAATGGAAGGAATTCAAGAAGATAAACCATTCTCAAGTGTGGACCATTCCCTTCCCAATTAAAAATAAATCAGAAACAAACATCTATGAGCAGTTTTTCATCTAGTAGTCCTGGATACATGTAGACCTTGAAAGAGAGGGAGGGGAACTTCATTCTAGAGAGAAAGTAACGTGAAAGAAAACCTCAAGCCCTAAACTAGGTGGAACTAGACAAAAAATTTGGGAATTT